TTGTGATACTCTGGGATAGGAGGCAAGCCTTGTTTACCTACGCTACCATTTTGACCAGAAATCCTGAATCCTTTTCAAAAGTCATGAAGAGTCACCTCCTAATTTGTCTTCAGTATCAATCCAGATTTCAAGTCAAATCCTTAAGCATTTAAAATGTATCTACTCCAGGGCTGGGGCTGTGCTAGAGGTTGCGGGAGGGAGATGCCTGATTTCTACCTTCAAAAAGCTTGCATGCTTGCTCAAAAATCTCTCTTGATTTTCTTCTCTGTACTTCTCAGTAATGCTGTAGCTATTAATTTATTGTTCATTCAACAAATATTTATTGAGTCCTTATTATGTATCAGATACTAAGCTGGGAAGTAGGTATTGGTTGGAGAGGTGGACTGCAGGGATACAAAATAAATAAGAGTGTAGTTCTGACTCTTGAGGCACTCACTGTGTAGTGTGATGGACATACTATGTTCAGATAATTAAGTTGCATTGTGATAAGTTTTAGAATAGCTTACCTTAGGAGATGACATTTGAGGGGATCTTGAAGAAAAGTTGCCAGGGAAAAGAGGAGGAATCTCTACACAGAGAATCAAATGTCTAATGTTATGGATGCATGCTGTGTTTGGGAACTAGTAAATAGTTCATATGAATGAAGCAAAGATTTGGGGGTAGAAAGCATGTATGTACCTGGCAAATTAGGTTTTTCTCTCCCTTTTCAGAAAGCACTTTGTCTATAAAAGTAGAAAAGGCTTACTGTTTTCTCCTGCTACCCATAATAGTTTGTTTTTTTTGTTTGTTTGTTTTTGTTTCCCTAGCCTTCCGCCTAATTTATATTTTATATACTTTTATTTCTATTAAGGCCCCCAGGGGTAAGGAGTCATAGGATCCCTTCTTATTTGTATCTGTTTCTTTCAACATGTTAAGTGTTACAGTTTGCTTATGGTAGGCTTTCAATATTTGTCAAATACTAATTTTTAAATTCTTGGTATTTGGTATGATCATGATGCTTGAAAGAATTCCTAACACATACAGTCTTCTTAATTCTCTTGATTCTCAGTGTGATCCTGTGATGTTTAAGTATTTTAATATTCTCATTTTTTATGAGAAAAGATAGCTACGCTCTCAAAATCACAAGTAGAAAGTAGTAGGCATATTATTAGAAATGCTCATTTTTTTGGCTTTTGTATGTTTTATATTTACAAACTAACATTTATGTATGTATATTGGTGTGTGTGTCTACATCTGTCAGTACACATATATACATGAGGAAAACACAGAACTAGAGCATATTATATAAATATTTATTGTCTAAAATGGCTTACAATTGGTTAAGAATTATATTGTTTCCTTTGTGTTGAAGTCTTGGGTAATGGTAGCTTTTATTAACACTTTGAATATCCTCATTTTGTCCAGAATAACCATTTATCTCAATCTTTACATAAGCAGTAAAATTGTATAATTGCTACTCATTGGAAAGATTTTAATTTCAGATCAGATAAATACATTCAATAGAATGGTGTATCTGTAAAATGTATATTATTTAAATTTTCACTGTGATGGGTTGTGAAAAATGCTTTTTTCTGGGACTGTGCTGCTTTGAATTGGTTGTTCTTTAACAAAATATTTTTAGGCTTTTACATAGTAACTAAATGATCAGTGAATTTCCCAAACTTTGAAGTGGAGACAACTAGGCCCATCTTCTGATAAAAGATTCAGATTGTTTGTTTTTCTGTATGTTTTCCCTAACAGATTTGCTAACAGCTTTCGGTAACATCTCGAAATGATTTTTTCCGTTTATGGAAGAGAGGAATATTTTTTTAATGACGTAGTTTTTTTACTTTCTGATTGTTTTTGGTACTTTAAAAAATGATAACTAGTTCACATATACTACATGCCATTATTGCCCATTAGTAATAGTTGCAGTACCTATACGATCTATATGTTCTTCATGTTTTCTTTATAAAACCGCAGACCATTTTCTGTCGTTAAACAAATCTGGGTGATACTGGGAAAGATAAGTTGTCAGATGAGGAGTTTTAAAGTTTCTCTTCTTAAATTGACTGTGTTAAGCTTTAGATCAATGTCTGGCTCTTAATTTTAGTAAAATGGCATGACACACTATATCCATGGAGAGCTTTTGACAAAATTTATTGGACTTTTTTTAATGTGCGGTTTACTCAGGTGGCTTCAGTTTCCCTGTAGTAAAATTGTATTTCAGTGCTGGTGCCAGAGTACAGAACAATATTGTAACTGTGAACGCATCTTCTGCAGCCGCTGTCTTGTTCCCTTTCTTTGTTGATATTTTTCTTTCTTAAACTTTGTTGCTCAGAATATCTTTAATGCTAGCCAAGGAGTCAGGGATTTGGACGTATTTTCATGGACTTCCAAAGCTTTTTACCCCCAGGTGAGTTAACTGTAAGGAACAATAATACATTATTGAGGTATTTCAGCATGTATAACAAATTTACATTATATCCTTTGAAGTCTTTGCTTAAAATATTTTTTTTACCAAAAAAGATCTATACAAAGTGCTGCAGTTGTTTCCCCTTAATCCTTTTCCCTCTACTTCTCCCAAAGAATGTGTTATTAGTTTAAGTTAAACTTTTATATGACTTCAAATTTGATATGTTTAGTTTTGTGACTAGCTTCTCCCGCAATTACATCCAACTCTAGCTTTTTCAGAACTAGCTTATTTAGGTGGGAGAGTCTTGACCCCATGCCTCTTCTCTTTTTTCCTGTTCTTCCACAGTGCCGTTGTGAATGTTCATCTGAGAAGGGGGAGGGGATATGATTTATATGCTGCTGCCAGGTCTTACATTCCTGTAGTAAATAAAACATGTATCTTAGCATTGCTTGAGAGTAAGCGGCACAGTTCTGACTTTATGTCTGTTACTTCTTTTTATACTGCTTAATGTTAAAAATTGCATAGACTTTGTTTTACATTTATCAATACAGTTCATTTAACTATTCAATTAAATATTTTAATAACAGTTCCATATATTGCTTTCATTGAGTAACTTGCAATTAATAGTTTTTGCCAACACTTATACCTCAGTGTTACCATGAATGATCAAAAGTTAGAAATACTGTTACACTTAATTAAATGCTCCAGGTGTATTATTAAATACCAGTCAGATTATTTTTCTCTAAATCTGTTACCTGCTTGTGATTTTTTGATGTCATACCATGTAATTATTTTTAACTTTCAGTTGTAGTAAATAAAGACTAACCTGCCTCTTCCAACTTTGAAATAGCATGACATATTTACTAAAATTGATCATACAGAAGTAGACATTTTAAATGTTTACTGAAAACCTTGTAAGTGTAGTCATGCAATGTAAACTTCAGACCCTACTTTACATTTCTGAGTGCTCTTGTATTCATATTACTGTGCACATATATAAGTTTTTGCAAGTATGCATGCATGAGTATATAAAATGGATATTTTAAGATTATTTTAAATTGAAATCTAGTGTGAATTTTTCAAGTATTTAAAATTCTCATTTCCATTAAATTGTCAATATACAACTAAAGAATTTTGGATAAGTATGGTATGATAATTACGGTAAATGTAAATAAATATTGTCTATAGTGCATATTTGTATAACTAAAAATTGATGATTTTAATCAAACAATGAAATTTACAGTCTAGGATGGTTGCTAGTGGCTCTAAAATTTTCCTTGTCCAACCATATATTGAATTAAAGACACAAATACACAGAATTCTTGAATCTGCATTTTTTTAAGCTCAGGATTTTATTTTTTATTTTCTACTACATACTGGACATGTTTACACACCTCTTATATGAGACAATTTATAGGGATAGAGCTAGTCAGTAATATTTTGTCTTGCATAACGTGTTACTTTGTTTTTCATTTTTATTCTGACATTACTAAATACTAATTTTAACCTAATGTTTGAGCAAGTGTCCCATTGTGATCATCTTTTACTGAATTTCAATATGGAGCAGTTTATAGAGTGTATATTACTGTATTTAAGATTGCCATTTAAATCTGTTTTAAAGGAATAATAATAAAAATGGAAAACCCCCTAGTGGGAAACTTTGACTTACATTTAGTTGGGCAGACAAACAAATATGGGAAGGTTGTTGTTCCTCTTCATTGCATTTACATAGAAAACACTTTCATCACAGCATTCATAAAATTTAGGGCATGTTCTTTTCTTTCATTGTGGAACTGACTCTCTTATATCCAAATGCATTATATTGATGTAAAAATGCCTCTTTAGTGTTCATCTCTCTTTTCTACTAAAAATCTAACCATCTTTTTCTGTTAATAGCGTTAATATTTCACAGTTTAAAAATGGCCAGCAAATCTAGCAAGACATCTTTATTTGTACCATATTAAGAAAGTACAAGTTGTTAAAATCCTAAAAACATTATTATATCATGTATAACTAGTAAATGATAAGGTGTATCTATATTTTATATACATTTGGTCATCACTGTTATTGCTATTTATAGATAAGTCTCCAGAGTCTTAACACCTATTTTCTCTATTTGTAAATAATTATTACAGACAATGTAAGGAAATGAAGATTTAGGCTTTTTAACCCATATCAACATACAGTAATGCAGTAATAATGATTCATAATTATTCAGTTGTTCACATAGTAAATTTGTTTCTCCTCTTAAATATTTCATTAAAAGATAGAAGTAAAATCAAGTACTGTATTTCTCAAATTTTTATGGACAAAAGTCTGGGGTTCAGTTGCTGTCCTATTGTATTTTCTTCTCTTCAACTTTATTTTAATTATTATTCAACATTGAAAAACTGAATGACTCTTTAATGGTGGTATTGACTAATACTTCAATTAGTAGTCAGTTTACATGTGTATTCACATATGTACATGTGAACTCAGTTTACATGTGTATTCTCTTTCTTAGTTGACAGTATTATAGAACTATTGTAAAGCTATTAATGGGAAGATGTTGAAAGTGATAATAGATTGTATTTTGTTTATTTTTTTTTCCTATTCAAATTTTCAGGAACCTAAAACTAATACTGATGAATTTTTCAAAGACATAAACTCCTGCTGCCCACAGGAAGCAACAATGCAAGAACAAGATATGCCGTTCTTGCGAGGAGGTCCGGGAATGTACAAGGTAGTGAAGACAGGACCTTCTGGCCACAACATCAGAAGCTGCCCTAACCTTAGAGGTATCCCAATTGGAATGTTAGTTCTGGGAAACAAAGTCAAAGCAGTGGGAGAGGTATGGATTCTTGTAGCTTCATGACTTCTAAGATACTCATTTTTAAATAATACAACCAAAACATCTTTTTCTTCCAAAGGTTGCCATTTCCATTCAGGTTTTTAAATGCTAGTCTTCTTTATCTTTATTTGTATTGAAAATACTAATGTAATTTTTCTGTGCTTCTTTTCTAATAACTTTATTCTCATAATCATCCTTGTGAAAAATGATATATTAACAAAATGATGTATATGTATACATAAATGTTTTGTATTTGCATATATATTTTTATTGTTATAAATGTACTATACTGTCATGGATTAACAGCACTTTTAAATATTTGCTATGGCTCTGTCCAGGGAGTTCAGTTGGTTATGGCATTGTCCGGATGCAGGTTTGATCCCTGGCCAGGGCACATACAAGAATCAGCCAATGAATGCATAAATAAGTGGAACAACAAATTGGTGTTTCCCTCTCTCTCTCTCTCTCTCTCTCTCTCTCTCTCTCTCTCTCTCTCTCTCTCTCTCTCTCTCTCTCCCCCCCTCCCTCCTCCCCACCCTCTCTCCCCTTTCCTCTTTCTAATCGCAATTAATATTTTAAAAAGTATATTTGCTGTGGATCATTATAGAGATGTGTATATACACAGGGTTTCTTTTCTTTGTTCCTATTCATGTGTCTCACTGAAGTCCTGAGCAAATACAATTACTCTTTCATCAACTGTGGCATTTGTCTCAGCTGATGAGCTTGAAGATGTAGTGTGTCATGCTATTTCTCAGTGTCAGTGTCATTTTCAAGTTGCATTATAGGCACCACCAACATAAATTAAAAAGCATCTTGTGTTATGACATTTTAGGTGTCTAAAGAAAGAGCCATGTGTTTTTGAGTAACATTTAAAATTATTTAGGGATGATCCTTGGGCCTTAAAAATTATTATTTTAACTCAAGTCATATAAGTAAGCAGTGTTTTACACAACTTCCTATTGATTTCTGTCCTATGCTGTGGTCTTAATTTCTGAAACTAATTTTATGGTAGATATTTATTGGATTGATTATACTATTCGAACTCAAACTTTTTGCTCGCTTTCAGCCTGGATGACCTGAAAGAATCAAGCCAATCAATCATACTTTTTGTTATGTACTAGGTAACCAATTCTGAAGGTACATGGGTGCAGCTGGATAAGAACAGCATGGTAGAGTTCTGTGAGAGTGATGAAGGAGAGGCATGGTCCTTAGCTAGAGACAGAGGCGGAAACCAGTACCTCCGACATGAAGATGGCAAGTTGGCTTAAATTTGTGATTTATTCCTATTAATCTTTGAAATGCTGAAGTTTAAAGCATAGTGTATTTCTTTGATCACAAGTAGCTTATTGTGTTTATTTTTTAAGTAAAAGCAAAACTAAGTGTTAAAAAATTCTTGCAGTTATTTACATTTGGCTATTAAATGAATGCACATCAAAGAAGAGAATTAAAAGAAAACGTGGAACATATGAATCCATCTTTGTAAGACATGCTTCTTATTAATAGGAATTTGTGTGATTTTTCTTCTATAGCAGTCCAGGACTGAATGTTTTACCCTTTCTACCACTAAATGAAAGTTTAGTTTCAAACCTCCAATCACAGTACTACTCCCAGGCAATTTCATTTGATTAACTTTTGTATCAGGAAAGAAAAATAAATGCAAACTATCTTTTGGGCATTTTCTATTTTGTTGTCAGGGTTTCAGCTTGCAACTTCATTTTACTTCTTCAACAGTGCTCTCATTTAATAAAAGATTTTCGATTTTTTCCCCTTCTCTTGTTCTCCTGGTGGCAGTAACTTGCTCATCAAAGTTCAGACCACATCATCAGATGGGTGAAGATTTATTTAACTGATGCTGACAGAGACTCAGGAATTCCCTCAGTGTTCTGAAAGAACTGTCTTTACCACTAGAACAAAACTGATATTATATTGAAGTCAATTTTTATTTCTTTATACCCACATTGTGAGTCCCTTATGGGCAGGCACAGGGTTTATTTTTTAAGATTTTATTTATTTATTTTTAAAGAGAGGGGATGAGAAGAAGGGAAATATTGATTGATTGCCTCTCATATTCTCCCCAGCCTGGGACCAAATGTGCAACCCAGGCACATGCCCTGACTGGGGATTGAACCAGTGACCTTTCAATTTTCAGGACAAGTTTGCAGGACAGTGCCCAACCAAGTGAGTTACACTGGTCAGAGAGAGGCATGGGTTTTTTATCTTTGTAGTCCTAGTCCTGAAATAATTTTTGCACATACTACTTGCTAAGTTTTATAACTGCAAGTTAAGTCACAAAAGTACTAGTAAGGACATCAAAATAAATGGGTAAACGAAGCTTAGACTTTTCTATCAAATCTCAAAATTATAGTATAGTGTCAGATAACAAAAGGACATGCTTCTTTATTCCAAAAAGAATAAACTTATAATATTCATTATCTAAGAGGTAATATGGCCATAAGCATAAATAGATTGAAAAAACTTTTGAAACCTGCTTGAATGACAGAGTACATTTAGAAGTACCTATTAACATTATACATAAAACATTCTCCCATTTGTCACCACAATAAGTGTAGGGTAAATGAAGTTAATCAGGCTCCCTTACCCAGATGTCTGGGCAACTGAGAGAAATAGTACTCCCACAGCCTTGAGAAATTGGAAATCCATTCAGGTTTCCCCATGCAGGATCAAATCCTGCTGACTACGCCAATTGTGTTGCAGCCTTTCAAGGCCGGGCAGGTTTACACAGGATTCAGGTAGAGGGAAGAAAATTTGTGGAGTTGTGGGAATGCCGGACATGCCTTTATTCAGGGGTGGGGCCATCCATGCACACTGCAAGCCTTCTGTCCCCCTGGCAGGGAGTCCCAAGTCCCTTGTATACCAAATGCACACAAAGCAGACAGGGTGCCAAGATATTGTATAGCAAAATGTGATTCTGCGCATGCAGACCCATTCTCAAGGCTATGGCAGTAATGTCAGGACTTAGTCATCCTGACATGCTGGTTAGGGAGCCTGACTGGCTTCATTTGCCCCACAGTAAGCTTTTGAGATAGGTTATATCATCTTCATTTTACTGGTAAGGAAACTAAAGCTTATAGAATTTAAAACAACTTACCTGTGGTTATACAACTGAATACAAGGCAGAGGTAAGACTCGAGCCAGAACCTTTGTTTATATCCCAAAATCTGTGCTCATTACACCATTCCATGCTGCATCAATAATTCATTGAACACAATGTTAGAGCCTGCTCCCTTCCTTGCCTTTACAGATAAATTTTTCTTACTTAAAAATAAGGTTATACCTAGCTGGTGTAACTCAGTGGATTGAGCGTGGGCTGCGAACCAAAGAGTCGTCAGTTCGATTAATTATGGTGTGTTTTAGTATTATATCAGATAGAATTTATAGCCACTTAATTATTAATGGAGGATTAACTCAGTTTACCAATTTTATTTTGCATTGTTCCCATTTGTAAACTAAATAAAATATTTGCCATTTCTTTCTTGAACTAAGAATTCTGATACATTTGTTGACTTTAGGATGCATTAGTAGGTCTGACTTCAAGACCTGGTTTATCATCTTTTTATTTAGGGAAAATATCCTTATATAATAAGTGAAAATAAGTTAAAAGTTGAATTTTCCATAATTTTCACATTCAAAATTTGAAATATTTTACAAGTCAAAATTCCTCTGGGTACCATACACTTAGATATTTTGAAGATTTTTTTCCTATTTGAATACTAATATACAAAATATTTTGATTTCTGGTTTATAGGGTATCCAGTTTTGTTTTGTAAAATGCCCTTGTATAAATTTGTTAAAATATGAGTTTCTGGTTCAGAAATAATAGTATACATTCAGTGATTTCTACCACAATAAAAGTAAATTGGTTCCCTAAGAGAATATCCTATTTCTGAATTGCACTGTTTATTTGACAGATGAAAACAAAGATTTGTCATGTACTTTGTCAGTGTCAGTGACCTAATTGGTAAACTTATTACCAAATTTAAATATTGACCATCATAAAATCTTTCTGGCATTTTTCTCTTTGTTCTTTGAATGTGGGATAACACATCAGAAACCTCTTTTATAGTTGTGCCTTTTTTTGTAGAACAAGTGCTTCTGGATCAGAATTCTCAAACTCCTCCTCCAAGCCCTTTCTCAGTACAAGCTTTCAATAAAGGGGCAAGTTGCAGTGCCCAAGGATTTGATTATGGACTCGGAAATAATAAAGGTAGGTGTTCATAAGTAGACTTTTACATGCCTAATTTTAATATTTTTATTACCTTCTTTCCTACCTATTTTAATTATTGTTTATCCACAAAACTTTATTACAGTTTGTTCCTAGAAAACTAATGATCAAATAAATCATTTACAAAAATTTCTTTAATACTATTGTTTTTGTCAGTTTTAGCTCATTTATAGTTGTTTACATATTTGTTCCTATTTTAAAGACACTCACTTTGAATTTATATCATAAAGATTCTGTGTCACTATATCCAGTAAAAGAACTATTTTCCCTTGTCTAGTTATTATTAGGAGTAATGTTAATAAACAAAAAAGAACTTCCCAAAGTGATCCATTAAAATCAACTTTAAGTAATATTTTAAGTAATATTGCACATCAGCTATATTAAATTTGTGGGGTTTTGAATGTCTAATCATGTTATCTTAGTTAATTTAGAATTATATGACATGACATCTTTGGATTTGGTATGTATAATAAAGCTGGAAGAAATCCTAAGGCATATGGATATAAAATGTATACAAATTTTTTGGCTGCATTAATGGAAGAAACCAGCATCATGGACACTTGAAGCAGTAGTTATTTTGAAATAATTTATACGTGAATTTCATCCAGATTTCATTTGTGTGTAAATTCGGACACATTCATGTTCTTCGCTATGAATCTGATCCTCTTTCAAAATCAGCCATGTTGTCAGCAGATAGCATGCAGTAGGACAGTAGGTTAGAGGGAGAAAATTGCTTTCATGGAAATCATTTTAAGTGTTATTTAAACTAATTCACAGGATTTGATTTCAAGAAATAGATACAATGTCATTTTACCTGACTTGCAGTGCAAGTGAAGTAATAAAAGTCTACAAAAAGCAAAATTACCTCAACATAGAGGAAATACTCAATTTAAAATAAAACCACCTCTTTTGATATTATTTTCCACAGAAAATTTTTATGAAGGAAGCCTAACCACAAGATTTCTTTTTGGCCCTCCCTACTCTGTTGTGCTGGTGTCTCCCACAGGTGTGCTTGCTCGTTTCTGGTAGCTCAGCTTTCAGCTAACCTTAGCTCAGTCTTCACACTTGCGTAGGGTGAATTCTCCGTGGTGTTTCCTTCGTGTTCCTTCTTACCGTTGCCAGTCCTTAAAATCTCGGTGCTTACTTACCACTCCTATACTTCTATGGCAACCTGTTTTAAAGCCATCTTTAATTCAAGTTGTGTGTTTTCAGTGTCTAAAATGTCTAAATTATACTGGTGGCTATCACTTTAAATCAGTATTTAAAATATAATTTATGAAAACATCATAAAAACCAACTTTTAAGAGATGCAAACATTGCTGACATGTGTTATTAAATACAAATAATGATATATTACTTTTTAAAAGTGGGATTTTGTTAATATTGCTCAAAAATAGCATGTGCTTATACACTTTTTAAATATTTAGATGAAGCAAAAAATGCTAAGAAACTTTTATCTGACTATATTTAACATTTATTACCTTTAACAATAGTTCCCATTTTATTTAATTCTATACTATTCAAGATACTGTGTTCTATAAAAATCTTTTCTCTTCAAAACAATTTTATCAAATTAATTATAATCTCTAAAAATCTCTGAAATTCTTTTTGTAATCTACAGCATTAATTTTTGAAAAATAAAGGTGTATAGCTTGTGTGTATACTTCTTTCTGTGTAAATCTATTTCTGTTGGTGCTTCATTTGAAATTTTTTTCTCTTCAGCATCATTTAAACTATAGTCTTATAAATAAGCAGCTATAGTCTATCCAGTTATGTTATTTCATATTTTTAAAAATGTTTTTCTGTTAATGTCTTTTGTATTTAATCTTAAGGGAAAATGTCAGAATTCATATTTGAGATATTATTCAAGTCAGGTAGCTCATATTCCTTTTTATCTTATTGTCTTAGAGACTTTTCTATTATCCATAAAAGCAAAAGAGTCTGTGCTTTTAAAAATGAATAATTACTTTGGCAGTAATAATTTTAAAAAAGAAAGTACTAACATAACTGTAATGTAAAGATATTACTATGTTAATAATGTATGCTTTGCTTCCCTTGAGTACTACATTTTTCAACACTCATCTTACCTACTTATTTTCTGCATGCAGTTTACTGTGTATGAGGCAGGGTGTTGTTAGTCATTGTCAGATACTATGTCGAAGACATTTTCTTAGATCTTCATTTATACTTAGATGATAATCAACTTACCATAGATTCTTCATAGACTGTGTATTCTCCTGTGCTGTTGCTAGATGTTGTATCTGTGAACATCTATGAATTTAATCAATGAATTTAAATCAATTTGGGCTGTTTTAATAGATTTTGTGGGTGCTTCCGTTATTAAAACAACATGCAACTTTTGGTCCCTAATTTGAGGTTGATGATCACCAACTTCCACACATTTCTGAATTGGCATTGTTTTATTTAGTGTTTAACTTTATCTGAATGTCATGAAGCACCATTTACTTTGCCATTTTGGATGTTAATTAATAACAAGTTGTAGTTTTGACTGTTTTGCCCACTGCAGGTGACCAACTGAGTGCCATATTGAATTCAATTCAGTCACGGCCCAATCTCCCAGCTCCTTCCATCTTTGATCAAGCTGCAAAACCTCCCTCTTCCCTAGTCCACAGCCCATTTGTGTTCGGACAGCCCCTTTCCTTCCAGCAACCTCAGCTTCAGAGTAAGTCTGTCAGCCTTACCTGCCTCATCAAGCCATTTCTGAAGCTTTGTTCTGAGTTTTATCAGTTACTAATTATTTATCAACTCACTGGAGTGGTTTTATTTAAAGAGGATGTTATCCCTTCCCCATTTTTGAAGCATTTCAGCTATTCTGAGCTAAGACATTCTGCAGCTAAAACATTTGTTTTTAATCACACTTTTTTAAAGTGTATCTACTAAAATATGACTATTATGCTGTCTATTCTGATTCCTGTATTGGCAAATATATACTATAAAACATGTTTGGAAGAACATACTTAACTTCAAATTTTCTTCTGTAATGTGCATGACTGTGCCAAGCACCAGTCATAGGGACACCTTTCATTGTTTCACGTCGGGTTTTTGCTATTTAGAGATGCCCTGAGATGATAAATCTATTTCAGCGGGTGAAAGAGAGACTGTACTGGGCAGGTTTGTTTGTTGTAAGTGAATTTGATATTCATAAAATATATAGCAACTTAGGCTTCCAAATTTTCTCAAACTGTTCTTTCTTCTGTTACTTTTTATTATTATTATATTTTGTTGTTTTTTGTTTTTAATATATTACACTGATCATTTGATTCCAGTTCTGCCTCCTAGGACTGCTCTAGCCCTTAATCCACGATAGTTTCTCTCACCACTGTGGAAAATAGACCCAAAGAAATTACACCTAGCTGAGTGGTCTTTTTTCTTAATGACCTCCTCACTTCCAGATAAATTTCCCCAAGTTCCTTAAAATATGACAGTATGTGCTCCTTGGCCTTCAGTTCACATGTCGGCTGCAATATACAAATACACTCACTGAGTGAGATAGTTTATAAAAGTCTTAGCTGACACACCCATTGTTTGGATTCAAATGCATGACCTCTTTGCTTTAATAAAGTACATTCACAGTGAGGTCTACATCATTTTTTACAAAATTACTTTGATAACTGTTTTTAGGATTACTTAAGATAATGCTAGCTTGTTTAGATTTTATTAGGAACCAGGGTAGTATATAGTTAGCAAATGATGTTATTCACTATAATATGGTTGTCTAGCTTAGGTAAAGAGTATACAAGCCTAGAAACTTTTCTAGATTTATACTATATTTTAGGCAAGTTTAATTAATAAAGCTAATTAGGTTAGAAATGTTAGTATGAATTTAGCTAATCTCTATTCATATATGATATTCATTTGAATGTCTCTTAAAAGAAGAACTTGGAGGAAATACAATAGTGTAATATGTGTGAAATAATTTTTTCCCTTCCCTGATAAGCATTATAGAAGAATAAAAGAGAAGTAAATACTTAGTTTATTCATTTTATGAAACAATAGACTTTTTATATTTAGATGAATTCAGATTCAAGGAAATTTTAAAGGTAAGGTCAAGGGAAAAACAAAAAAAATAAATCATAATCAGTTAGAAAATGTATATATAAAATGTTTAAACAAAAGTTACTCTGATAATGTCATAGTGGCAGCAGATGAGAGCTAAGGAATAAGGACCTTTTTGTTCTGTTTAAAGGATCATCATACAGCTTCTCAGAAACAAGTGTAATTACTTTTTATTTTACAAAATTATTTTTAAAATATTTCAAATTGAAATAGAAAGACTATAATAAATCAGATTTGTCTCTTTGAAAGAATCATAGGTTTCCAGCTGACATGTGTCAGGATAATTTTATGCATATTGTGTCTAAGTGTTATCAGTACCACCACTTTCTTTACCACCATCTTGGGGCAAATTTGAAATCATGTCCCACTTACCGATTTTCTGAATCATCACTTACCTGTGCTGCAACAATGGGAATTACTCGGGTCTCTTCACAAACCTGGTATTCTCGCAGAGTTATCACTGAAGTTTGACTTCCAAATTCCAGAAACCAGAAGTCTTAATCTTCAGCATAACTAAAAAAAGCTATGGAATATAAAAACAGCTTTTCTGTTTTGGAAGTGAATTAGAATTGTATTGATCCTGTCTGATTAGGAAAATCCAATGTGGCAGAGTGCTCATTGCTAAGACTGCCTGAGTAAGTTATCCTTCCCTGAACTTGGCTGACATCCATTCCACCAGCATTTTTCTTGCTTTGGAAGGTGGATTATGTATGCTCCCTTTTTTAAATAGTAAAATGAGAATCATTTTTGTTTTATATTTCTGTGATGCTAAAATAAAACATTATGTATAGAGGACCACGTTGTTCATCTTTGCTTATATTGATCATCACCACCATGTACTAAATATGGTACTTAGCATTCACATACATCTTCCTTTGAGATAATGACTCCATTTTACAGGTAAG